CCATGGATGCAGCCTGCCCAGACCCCTCTGCAGAGCCTTCCTGCCCTCGAGCAGATCGACGCTCCCGCCCAGCGTGGTGTCCCCTGCAGACTGACCGAGGGAGCACGCGATCCCCTCACCCAGATCACTGATGAAGATGTTGAACAAGACCGGCCTCAACACTGAGCCCTGGAGAACAGCACTGGTGCCTGGCTGCCAGCTGGGTTTAACTCCATTCCCCACCACGCTCTGCCCTCGGCCATCCAGCCGGTTCTTCATCCAGCAGAGAGTGCACCCGTCCAGACCATGGGCAGCTGGTTTGTCCAGGAGGATGCTGTGGGGAACAGTGTCCAAGACCTTACTAAAGTCCAGGTAGATGACAGCCACAGCTTTTACCACAGCTTCGGCTTGTGGTGTGGTTCTTGAGGTTCCTCTTCCTCACCAGGGTGAGCGTTGCCCGGTGTTTGGCGTGACTGGCAGCGGAATACTCTCAGGCTCTCTCTGATCAACACTTTTCCCTTATTTCTCCTTGCTGCCCAGATCTCTCAGGTGTGGAATAACACCTTGGTGAACCTCCTGAAGAGCCTCTACTCCCTGGGGATGGACAGCCACCGGAGGGAGATGCAGTCGGTGGAGCAGGAGGTGCTGTGGCGGCTGCGGCGCCTCACCTTCAGGCAGCTGGCCTCCCTGGCCGAGTTCTTGGCAGTCAGGCAGGGGAAGGACAGCAGTCCACTGCTGAACGAAGTCATCAAGAAGCTGGAGCTGCGGTGGACGGAGCTCGAGGGCACCCGAACCGTGGTGACGCTGATGGGCAAGGTCGGGCAAGTCTCCCCGGCTCTGATGGACCGGCTGGAGGACAAGGTAGGAGCTCGGGCTCTCCCTTCCGCCTCTGTTCCCTTCGGAGGGGCCACGTCCCGCAGGTGACAGCCCCGTCCCCGTCACCCCATCCCGTGTGGGAACGCCGATTCCACGCAGGCTGCGCTCGTTGCTGCTCCCAGGTGCTTCGGTGTGCGCTTCCCGGTCGCTGTTTAAGCAGCTTCCCATGCAGGGGGGGCTTCTGAGAGGGGTTTCTGCGGAGCCCCGTGGACTGGGAGAGCTTGCGCTCGCCAGCCCCTTTCCCAGTCCGTACTGGTGCGAGTGGGTGACTCGCACTGGTCTGCGCTGCTGGGAGGCGGGCTGAGCTGACGCGCTTTCCTTTGCGGCTGCGGCAGGTTCGCGGAGAACACGCTCGAATTTCCTTAGCTCAGCTGGCCAGCGGTAACTCACAGAGCCAGCGCCACGCGGCTGCCAAAGTCATCGTCCTCTGCTTCTCTGTAGCGCCAGGCGGTGAGGGGAGCTGGGACGAGGAGCGTCCGTACTGTCCTTGCCTTCTGGGCCCCCGTCTTCCCAGAGGGCAGCCTGTCCCCTCCGGCGCTCTGTGGGTCCCTGTTTGTGTCCCTCGCAGGAGCGGGGAAATGTCAGAATCACAGAACGTTGGGGGTTGGAAGGGCCCTCTGGGGTCCCCCAGCCCAACCCCCTGCCCAAGCAGGGTCACCCACAGCAGGCTGCACAGCACCGCGGCCAGGCGGGGCTGGAATATCTCCAGAGAAGGAGACTCCCCAGCCCCTCTGGGCAGCCTGGGCCAGGGCTCCGTCACCCTCAGAGGGAAGAAGTTCTTCCTCGGGTTCAGCTGGAGCTTCCTCGGCTTCAGTTTGTGCCCGTTGCCCCTTGTCCTGTCGCTGGGCACCACTGCAAAGAGTCTGGCCCCGGCCTCCTGACCCCCACCCTGCAGATATTTAGAGGCATTTCCAAGGTCCCCTCTCAGCCTTCTCTTCTCCAGGCTGAACAAGCCCAGCTCCCTCAGCCTCTCCTCCTAGGAGAGATGCTCCAGTCCCCTCCTCATCCTCGTAGCCCTGCGCTGGGCTCTCTCCAGTAGCTCCTCATCTTTCTTGAA